TTATTTATTTTTGACAGAGAGAGAGCCTGAGCAGGGGAGGGGCAGAGAGAGAGGGAGACACAGAATCTGAAGCAGGCTCCAGGCTCTGAGCTGTCAGCACAGAGCCTGACGTGGGGCTCGAACCCACAGACCGCGAGATCATGACCTGAGCTGAAGTCGGACGCTCGACTGACTGAGCCCCCCAGGCGCCCCGTCTTAAACCTTTTAAAGCAGGTTTTGTAGGTAACCTCTGTGTCAATTCAAATAAGAGAGGCCACTATATTCCTAGACATGAGAGGTGTTAACCTAGTATGATGTGGGATTGTTTCTCATAAATAACTCTTTCAATATCTTTGTTATTTTTTGCAAAACTGTTCTATATTACCTTTTTCACTGTCCACTCCTTTCTTAGTCTTTCTGTCCATCTTTCTGACTTCTCATTACAACCATAGAAGGAAAAATAAATGCAGGTAGCAAGTTTGTAATTGCGGGCATGAACAGATACTGAATTAACATTAAAACCATTGAAACGGAACGTAAATGTATGTCTTAATCTTGTGGATGTTTGATGTTAGCATTCTGGCAGTTTTAACCGTAGGACAGTTGTGGTCGTAGATGAGCTACGGCGGCCTTTATACCCACTAAGTGCCCCAACTCCTTCTGCAGGGAGAGAGGTTTAGTGTTGACCTGGGGCGCAGAGAAAGCTTTGTGGCTATTAAGAAGCGAGGTTAGTAACTAGACCATGATTTGAAATTGTATCTCACGAAGAGAGAGGAAATGTGGTCCTTTGGGGGCAAGAAACTAGTGAACTAACAGTGAAATGAGAAAGAATGGCTAACAGCTAGGAAAAGGGAAAAGGGGATGCATTTCTAGAGTCGAAAGCCACAACTCTCACTGGGGGATATTCAGGATAAGTAATAATAGGCATGGGTTGGCCGTTGGCCAAGCGGTGTGGGTGCAGCATTCACGTCCTTGGTGTGTGAGCCTTGACTTCACACCACAGAGAAGGCGCGCGGTTGGCACAGTGCCTTAGAAAGTGCTAGATGAGGAGGCAGGAGGTCTATATTTTAGTCTGGCTCTACCGGTGACTGGTGGTGAGACTTCAGACAAATCCCTTAACGTCTCCCAGCCTCTGTTTCCGCACGAGGATTAGTACATTTGTTTCCCTCACTGTAATATTTTGAGGACCAAATGGGATTACATGTGTGCAAGCATTCTGCCAACTGTAAGAGGCAGCACTCCGCTCTGCTAAAGTGGAATTCAAACTCATCCTACAGAGTGGGCAGAGTGAGGAGTGAGAGATATTTTACGCTTTCTGAGTATGAAAACCCTTCACCAGATCTTTTTACAGTTAGAAAAAAGGAAAGAAACAGTGTGTAGGCAATTAAAACATTGTATAGGAAATCCCTCCTTGGAAACATTGTACATGTACCTTTGATCAGCATTTCAGCAACGTTATACTCGGGAGTAAAGGAGTTTTCTGCGAACCCAAGGTTTTATTACCAGAGCTTTCTGTATGTCAT